CTATGGGCTATTGGCGACGGTCTGGGAAACATCCCTGAGGATGATCCGCAGACATGCCATCATAATTTTGATCCTCTGCAAAGGGGATGGCACCCCCGCTTCGGTAGCCCGACGACCTGCACGCGAAGTCGAGCACTCAACGGTAGCACAGTTTAACGAGGACCAATACTGCACTCCCTCGGTCCCTACGCAGACTGATCCAAGTGGTCACCCACCCGCACACTGACCACAGCCAGTGATTCTTGACTTCGGTGATCTGCTGGGAACCGTGTGTTAACGATCAGTCCACTGCGGGGCCAAAATGGCGTATATTGAATGGAAAATACCTTTAAAATATTATGATAGCATTATGCAATCATCAAAAAAAAGTAATAAGGTATTATATCTCCATTTGATATCATGATGTTCATTCACAAAGACAACTTTGAAGATATTTTTTCAAACTTATGGATAAGTTTAAGAATTTTGTTAACAATCTCTCACTATCTGCAGTAAGTGGTGAACATTCTTTAAGCAAATTGGAAGCTGTAAAAACCTATATTGGAAGCTATAAGGTCTACATTGACACAAGAGAGTCGTAAATTCTTTTGACAATAATTTCTATCGAAAATAAAACCGCCAAAACAATTGATTTTAAAGAATCTATAAAACTGTCTGCGTCTGCTAAAGGACAAAAAGATTTTTCAATGTTTATGCTCATATATTTGAATGTCATAAAATATTATATGCTCGATAAAAATGTTAATTAAAATAGATATTTATTCTAGAATACTGGAAGTGATAAATCTCATAAATGAAAACTAAAGGATTTCTTTTTTAACCTTGAAATCAATAATTGTTATTTATCTTCTTCATATGTTTCTTAAATCTGCATTTAGGAATTATAATTTTCTGGTAGAAATATTGTAATTTTAATTATAAAAAGTAATTTTATACAGTGTTATGACTACACCAACGCACAGTGGGGCAGCGTCAAGGTTTCGTGGCCAAAATTAGTATTTCGATAAAATTTGTTTCAAAATTTGTATTTAGGGGTTTTTATGTGCAGGTAAATTGAATTCATAGTTGAAATTTTGAATTACACTAAAAATCTAAAAATACCCCCCCCCCTTAAAAAAAAGAAAATGGCGGCTGAAATATGTCGAGCAAAAATAAAAAAATAATAGAGAACGTTTAAATAAGTAAATAAAGCAATTAAAATATAATAATTTTCGTAATTTTATATTAAAAATGAAAAGAAAATTATATTTTCCGAAGTAATATTACAAAATAAAGCGAATTAATTACAAAATAAAGCGAATTAATTACAAAATAACGCGGAAACATGAAAAAAAAAACATAATTTTTGCTTTTTCGGTATATTTAGTCCACCTTTGCAATACGGGCAAAATGGGGCAGGGTTTTTCGAAAGAAGAAACATCAAAGAAGACAACAATAAAACGTTAAGGTGGAACTAATTTTCGAAAGTCATTCAAACATTGTAAAATGTCAAATGATAAGATATAAACTATAAGTTTGTCAAGAGTATTAACTAATCCAACCAATTGAAAAATTGTACTATAATTTAACACTAATTACTCTGATAAAAATGTAACACTAAGGTGAAATTCCTATATATATTTCTGAAATAAAAATTTAAAAGTTACATTTAAAACAATTTTTTAAACATATTTTTCATTAAATTGTACTCTCGTCGGTTCAAAAAGTAAATTATAATGTTTGGAATGATTATGGATACTTAATTTGGGCTATATTAAAACTGCCTACACATATTTTAGTTGAAAATTTAATTTTTTACTTTTGCCCAAAGATAATAGTCTTCTGGCCCACAGTGCAGCAAGACAATTTAAAGGGATAAAAAAGTTATTTTTTAAAATTCAGATTCCTTTTCAAAAATTGAGTTAAAGACTCCGTTTTCAGTAAATTAGTGATTTCACTCACTTTTCTCTTACTTTCTACGAATCAAATTTTTATTTAATTGCATTAGCAGCATATCACAAAACTATTCAATAGGCCTGGCTCCTTACTATAGACCTGGGGTTTCCAACTTACATGAGGCCGGGGGCCACAATTAAAAACACAAATCAAATGGCGGGCCGCAACTTTATCAAAATTTTATGTAGGACTCTTTTATGTTTGAAGGAACATTAAATATTACTGTCAGATTTTTACCAAGTTGTACAAAACAAAAGTATTGAATTACAAATTAAAATAAGAAGTAGATTTTTAAAAATATTTAATTGCATATTAAAAAATTCGGGCTACAATAACTTTAATGTGCACCTATGTATTAAACAATTAATGTGCAACAGATATCTAATTGTTAAGATATAAAACTTTAAAAAGGTTGGTATTAAAACTTACATAGTAGCACACAAAATGTTCAATGACGAGATTGAGGTTTGTCTGCTGCAACCACCAGAGAATAGATATTTACATTTTAAATATAAAATTTACAAATGTGTGTGTAAATATTTTCGTTCAAAATGAGTGATTTCAGAAAGTTACATCGGAGAATTTCTTCGAGAAAATTTCTGATACACACATGCTAAATTATATTCATAAAATACAAAAAAATTAAATAAAATAAAAAAACATACACGATTATTTTTGTATTTGAAAAAATATTTTCTTGGATGCAATATCTGAGAAATAATTTTTTTTGCACCGTTGGTATGATAAATTTCACAGAAGCGAAGAAATTAGTTTTTTATTAACGAGAAAAGTATTTTAAACCCATATAGATTTGTTACGAAAATTTTCCGCAAAAGAATGACAACTAATATATTTTAGTTCGCGGGCCACAAAAATGGCTTCGCGGGCCGGATGCGGCCGCCAGTTGGAAACCACTGCTATAGACCTTGCAACAAAAAGTACATTTTTAATACCTCCCTGTAGCACGTTATTACAATTATAAAATTAGAGTAAAAATCTTTGATATTTCTGAAGAGAGGAGGGCACTTTTGGAATACCCTGTATTCCTTTCATGATTAAATAAATAAAATTTGTTACGCGATGGGCGCATGTAAGTATTGAGAAAAAAAATGAGAAAATAAAAAACGGGCCTATGGGCGCCCACGGTAGCCATCGATAGACCGTGGGTGCTAATGCGCGCTCGGTCATAGCTATTTTTTTAAGTTTGCTTATAAAGAAAGCTTAAGAAATAAAAAAATTAAACTTGTGTTCTGAATTTATATAATGTCTCATATGTAGGGCCGGGATAGCCTGGTCGGTAGGGCGCTGGGCCCATATCCAAGAGGTCGTGGGTTCGATTCTCGCCGGCCGAAGACTGCCCGTGTAGTAAATGGTGACTGATGCACGTTAAATCTGTCGAGTCTCAAAGTCCTCCATGTTCCCACAACACTCCATGTACCTCTGGGGGTACTGATCCAGGAGTTTCCTTGTCTTCTGTATTGGTTCAAAATTACAAGGCTACGGAGTTGAACGGAAGTAGTCGTAAACCCATGAAATTGGGTCGGCTGTTCAACGACGGTTATAAAATTAAATAAAATGTCTCATATGTGTGAGCCGCGATGGCTCAGGGGATCGCCTTCCAGTGAGGTGAACCAGGGTTCGATCCCGGCGATGGCTGGTCGAAACTAATTCTGCATCCGGCTTGCACCGACCACAGTGCTGACGTGAAATGTCCTCAGTGGTGGCCGGAGCATGGGTTAGAGTCTTCTAGCCGTCAGGCTAACCGTGGGAGGTTCTCGTGGTCTTCCTCTCCTTGTAACGCAAATGCGGGTTAGTTCCATCAACAAGTCCTGCACCATGGCAAATTTCTCCCAATACTCGATCCAGGAGTTCCCTTGTCTTCCGGATTGGGTTCAAAATTACAAGGCTACGGAGTTGAACATTAGTAGTCGTAAACCCATAAAATTGATTCGGCTGTTCAACGACGGTTATAAAATAAAATGTCCCATATGTATACGCCGGGATAGCCCGGTTGGTAAGGCACTGGGCCCATGTCTAAGAGGGCGTGGGTTCAATCCCCGTCGGCCGAAAACGCCCTGTGTAGTAAATGGTGACCGATGCATGTTAAATCTGTCGAGTCACGACGTCCTCCATAGCAAATCAATACCTCCTGCTGGTACTGATCCAGGAGTTTCCTCGTTTTCTGGATTGGGTTCAAAATTACAAGGAGTTGAACATTAGTAGTCGTAAACCTAAAGTTGGGTCAGCTGTTCAACGACGGTTTTAAAACAAAATGTCTCATATATCCCTTTAATATTAGCCTAGTTTTGAAACTTCGTCAGATATATTATAATAATTACATATATATGAGCAACAATAACACAATAGACCTATACAATAATAAAAAAATAACACCTATGCAAAAGGACGGAAATGAAAAAGCTTGATGGCGCAGCCAGATAGTCATAATCCATTGTATGGGTCGGAACGAAGTTAGTTTATAATAAAAACGTAAGAAATATGAAAATTTATGTTTTGAATATTATAGTGCCCCTCATCTCCCCTTTATATTAACTTATATTGTTTGAACTTGATCTGATATATTACATTAACTATATATATATAACCATATCAAGCCACAGAATTATAGACAAATTCGAGGCCGCACATTGGGGCATGATATGGGCCCACTGTGCAATCTACAGAAAACCACGGAAATTATCTAAAGCAGCTTAAATTGAATTAAATAGCTACATGGTGGCCCTTGTTCACGATATGGTTAGAAATGATGAACTGTTTGTCCCTTGATCCGTGGTTCATTAACGTATTGAACGGATGTTTTTTGTTACTTTGGATCGGCATATTTTAATTTTAGCTGCTCTTCAAATTTTTCCGAACTTTATCTAAAAATAAGCACTCGAATGTGTTGACTTATGAGTTACATAATTAAAACGTGCATGTGTTTAGGAATAACTACAAATAAATCTGAAGATAAAATAGAAGTATAAACAAAAGGCACTAAGAGGAAAATTGCGAGAATCCTGGCCGTCATTAAGCGGCGCTGATGGCAGCAAACGATTTCGGTTCGAGTTGACGTAGCCGGCTTCTGCCTTACTTGCGCGATCGCACTCTTTAATAACTACACGTTTCGTATCGTCTGCTTTTTGTTTGTTTTTTATGGAATAGTGTAACTAGTGCTTTATTTCTTTGGAATATATCTATGAAGCCCACAATGGAATTACTGGAGGTAAATTTTATTTAAATATTGTATCACATATTGAAACAACTCATTGTTAAAAAATGAATATTTTTGTTGTAATTGCAAAGCAAACGATAATTTTGTTGTTTTATAAAGCAAACGATAATAATTTGGGGGATTATGGTTGTTAGAGAATTTTATTTCTGAAGGTCGGAAGGTTGGATTGAACTGGAATTTGTTTCCCTTTTTTTACATCGTTTTTTGATTAATAAGACGTGCCCGGCGGCTTCCGAGATCTAATTGCGGTTTTTCTTTTTATTTTTCTGTTTAAATGGAATGATGGGTGTAATCATTTATCATTTTGATTCCATTAATGAATAAGTTGAGGTTCTAGGAATCAGTTTGATGTTCGAAGTTGCACAATGTTATTTAGCTGTAATTGTGGTAAGTAATAAACGTCTCTTAAGAAGAATATCTCTTTATAATTTAAAATTACAAAACAAAATTTCTTTTAATTTTTCCATAAAATTAATATTTGTTTAAAAGATGTAAATATGAAAGTGAAAAATTAAAAACCCTTAAAAACAAATAAAAAAGGAAATATAAGATTCAAAATCGCATTCTTTTTTTAAAAATATTCCTTTAAAAGAAAAAACTTTTAAAAATTTGAATTTACATTTTTTTTTTCGATCTCCCCTTTAAAATAAATAACTTCCAAAGATTTAAAATTACAATATTTATTTAATTTTCTCTTAACATGAATAATTTTTAAAGATTTGAAACTCTATTAATTTTTCCTAAATATAAATATTTTTAAAAAATATGAAACTGAAAGAGATTAAACCGAATTTTTGAAAAATTTAAATGATTCCCCTAAAAGAAATATTGTTTAAATGTTTCCGTTTGCAAGTTTGTGTTTTCTATTTTCCCTAAAAGTAAATGTCTTTGAAATATTTGAAACAGAAAAACTTTTTTTTTGTTTTTCAAATTTCTCTTAAAATGAATAGTTTTTTAACAGTATGATTTTGCATTTTTATAAATTTTTCTTTCGATTGAATATCATTCAAAATCTGGAATTTGTCAAATTATTTTTTTATTAATTTGCATTAAAAGTAAATTTAGTGATTTTCTGCTTTTTTAGTTTTAACACTATCGCGATGTAAGTCTAGAACTCGAATATAATATTTTATTACTTAGTTATTACTTATTCTACAGCTTTTTAGCATTTAATAAATCAATTTATATTAAAGAAAATAAAATGGTTTTAAAATGTAACGTTTAAGAAATTTGAAGGTTTTCTAGTTTCCACATTTCTTTTTTCTTTCTCATACAGTTAGTAAAATAAAGAAACGGGCACTCTAAATAGCTTTTGATCTAATGATCGGATCTTCACGTTCTTGGAGTCAATCTTAATGGTTCAAGGAGGTGGTTTATTATTTTGTTTTTAACAAAATTTTCGTAAAATCAGTGGAATTATTCCAGAGAAATCGAATTTATAAATATGGCTCATTTAAAATTACACCGATTTCCCACAAATTTTTAATTTTGTCATATAAAATTATATTCTTCAAAATGATATAAAATTTTTTATACCTTATTCGAAATTGGTTCGGCTCATATTTAATAAGATAATGAAAAATCATAAAAATTTACTAAAAGTTATTTTCTGCATGGAATTATCTTTGGGTAAACGATTTTTATAATTGTGTGCAAAACTTTTTCCATTCGCTTAAATAAATCTTGACTTACGGCGAAATACTTACTTACTTACTTATCCTCTACGTGCCTTTGGGCACTTAAGGCCTCTAGCAAATCCCTCCAACGCCTCCTGTCTCTAGCAATAGATCTTGCTTCCTCTCCACATTCTTTTAAATCGCCCAAAAGCATGCGCTGGATGGTAAGTCTGGGTCTTCATCTTGTTCTTTAACCATCAGGGGCCCATGTAAGCGCAACAGATGTAATTTTTTCTTTGGGCATTCTAAGGATATGCCCGAGCCAGCTCCATCTTCGTTTTTTAATTTCATCTTCTATTGTTTTTATTTTAGCTTTCTTTAATAGATTTTGANCTTAAAATAAATTATCTACTGATAGCAAAGGCTATGTATTATCATTTTAATAAATAAGAATTATAAGAACTACATGTAAATAGTTTAAAAGATATATAAAAGGACGAATAGTCGTACTCTTAATTTCTATTATAAAAGTTTTATTAAATTTTTATTTATTTATTTTTTAATTATCTGCCCAGTGCCCCAAAGACACGGTTCCCAGTAGAACACGGAAGTCAAGCATCACTGGCTGCGGTCAGTAAGACGGGGGGTGACCATTTTGATCAGCCTGCGTAGGGACCGAGGGTGTGCAGTATCGGTCCTCGTTTGACTGTTCTACGTTAAAGTGCTAGACTTCGCGCTCAGGTCGTCGGGCTACCAAAGCGGGGGAGCCATCCCCTCTGCAGAGGATCGAAGTTACGATGGCATGGCTTCGGATCATCCTGAGGGTTGTTTTCCCCGACCGTCGCCAATAGCCCATTGTGTAACTCTAGTACCACTTAAATAAAGAGCAACTTACATTATCTGCTGTGGTTGACTATCGCAGAAGCCTCTCGTGTTGAAGGGTTTGCGTTGGCATTCATGCTTGATTTAAGCATTATATAAAAAGAATTATACTGTACTGATTCTCTAAAAAATACAAATAATTCGTATTTAAAAATTTTTATTTAAAATTCAAAACAAAAAAAGTAAAGTTTTATAGATTTAAAAGTCTTCAGCGAATCAATTGATTGCCAAACTGATGACATTCACGCTCTTCGAAAAAGCTTTTTCATGGTGGTAGTGATATAACTACTGCAGTGATGTTTAATTTTATTTTATAACTCTCGTTGAACAGCCGACCCAATTTTGGGTCTGCGACTACTAATGTTCAACTTTATAGCCTTGTAATTTTGAACCCAATCCAGAAGACAACGGAACTCCTGGATCAAATATTCGGAGAAATTTTGCCTTCGGGGAGGAGTTTTTGAATGAACTGATCCGAATTTGGGTTACAAGGAGAAGAAAACCTCCCACGGTTAGCCTGCAAGGGGACTCTCACACATGATCCGTCTACCACTGAGGATATATTAAGTCGGTGCCAGCCTGGCTCGGGTCCTTTTTGTGTATGTTTTAAGTATTTGAGTGAAGTTGTCAAATCATTAAGTACACTTTTCAAAACAATTAAAGGATATTGTATTAAGTAACGGTATAAGCAATTTTTTTTTCTTACATAAAATGGAAGAAGAGAGTAACAAAGGCAAATTTTTCTTATTTTCAAGCTTCGCAGTTTGCAGATTTTGAGTTTGACGTTTAATTTGATTTGGCTTTCACTCTTAACGGAAAAGCATGATCGACATTCAGTAAGCGCGTTGTTTCTATGAGTGTGCGATGTCACATTTAACCGAATCAGAAGCTTGATGAGTTGTTGGTTGGTTGGAGGTGGGCCGAAGCCATTCCCAGAAAGCATGTCACTTTGCGGCTACCTCGTGTCGGAATTTTCTTCTTATTGTCGCGAAAATGTTTGCACTAAAAACCTTTTTTCAATGAAGCAAAAGTATTGCAGTTTCAAACCTTTCATCCTAAAAGGATTACAAATTATTTTCATCATCATAATCAAATTGCCTCGTCCATTAAAATTTCAAGACAAGGTGGATTTTATCTGAGCATACAAGACTTTGCGAAAAGAAACCTTATAATTACCTAGATATAAGATTATCAAAGGATTTTTTTTTTTCACGCTTGAAACCCCTAAGTCAACCTCGATTTAAGGTTTTTACATAAAAGGTTGTTTTCCAAGGTTTTGGATTAAAATAATATGCGTAGAATAGAGCAGATTGTCACAGACCTCTAGAAGGTTTACTCGTAACCTTTTTAGGTTTACATTAAAAGGTTTTTGCAGAGTTAAAATAAATCTTATTTTGTTATGTGAGATTGGAGTTTCACGAAGTGTGATTTCCAGAATCTGGAACGCTTTTTTTGGAGACTGAAAATACAGGCCGAAGATCAGGACAGGGGCGTAGACGTGCAACAACGCCCAATGAAGACTGTTATTTAACGCTTACGGCACGGAGACACCGAAATGTGAATGCCACTCTTCGTCAACAACACCTTCGCTCGCAAATGAGAAGATCAACCCACACCTTCAATATTCTTTAATTGCGTTCAGCATTGTTGGTTAGTTCAATTAAGTATTTAAATGTAAGATAAATCAAATTTGTTAAAACTGTCGGCTGGTTTCCAGCATTAAGTTAGTTAGTTAAGTTAGCAGTTAATTGTTTTCAGCATTGTATTAGTTCAATTAAGTATTTAAATGTAAGTTGAATCAAATTTATTAAAACTAGAAACGAGCAAAAGTTTTTCTACCACATTGAATATAAAAAATAATTGGCAGGTATTCTCTAATGAATGTGCCATGCCTTTAAACTTGAATTTGAAAGGAAAAAAAAGTGACCTACAGAGTCCATGGTCAAATTATTTAGACGCACTATAAGATTTTATGTAAATTCTTAATTATCAGGTGATAACATTATTTTTTTAAGTTGCTGAAACCGGTTTGCACTTGCTTACGTTCGTGTATCAATTGGTTAACATTGCAATGCAATACTTTAAAAAAAATAAATACAAATAGGAAGTGTATAAAATAGCTCCTGAATAACATTTATGTTTAACTATACAAGCATTGCACATAAACTTGTGCAAATCATGTAATTATTAAAACACCACAGTGCGTCTAATAATTTGATCTAATTCTTATAATGTACTAATATAATATCTGATATAAGGAATATTCTGTATTTATATAATATATCGTCTAATTTATATTATATATCGTCTTATTTAGCCGACTGATACGCAAATGTAAACAAGTGCAAACCGGTTTCAGTCGCGTAAAAACTATTAAACTGTATAGTATCACCTGATAATTAAGATTTTACAAAAAATGTTACAGTGCGTCTATTAAGTTGGCCGGGGACTGTGTAAAAAGAAATGATCAATCTAAAGAAAAATAAATCCACA